AAAACAAAAAACAAAGAAGAAAAAAACAAAACAAAACAAAACAAAAAACGGAAGAATAAGGAAAAAAAGTCCTTAAGATTACACAAGGTGTGATTATTCATGCTCACAAACAAATAGTCCTTCAAGGCAACACTAAGTACATGTAAGAACTAATGGGCTGTTTTAAAAGTTTAAGTAATTTCAAAATTATTCATATCATTATCCAGATATATATATATATAGCACTTTGCAAAAATTCTGTAAATAAAATGAATATCGATATATCGTGTGCATTATGGGTACTTTTCAATTTAAAAAACGCTTTAATAAAGGTTAAATACAATGTTTTCGGTGAAATATAACCAGTGTACATTGTGAGCATTAATACTAGATATTTGGCTAACTTTTGGTTGAAAATAGTTATAATTAAAAAAATCTGGAAATTAGTTTACATATGGATATATAGATAAACTTGACGTTTTCAGAATTTTTGCAAACCGCTATATATATATATATATATATATATATATGATCCAGATATTGTTTTTAAAATATTTTCTCCGGCTAAACGCGTTTTCCTCGCTGTAGACAATGTTTAGTGATATGCGGGAAGCGGCGCTAGTGACAATGAGGGCGGTGGACTTTGTGAAAGCTTTAGAACCTATTCATCAAATCTATTGACTTCTATTGACTTCTATGTATTGTATCATATTATATTCGTTATAGCCTAATAAAATATCAAGTGACTACGACCCGAGTTATTCAACGTCATAAACCGTGAATTTCAAAGACATTTTTGGTCGACTTTTTGTGCCTTCAGCTTTACGAGTGCTACTCTCTCGGGCAATCCTCTTGGTAACGATCAATGATTGGGCAATTTAGGACTCGCTTGCGAGTTAGTTACAAAATACTTCAATTCGCCGAGATGTTTTCGATTATCAGTTGTTATGACAGCTGCATCTGGCATCGCTCTTCTTCAAAATTCTATTTAGCCTTTTCTTTCTCACTTTCTTGCTTTGTTTTTGTACGTTGGTAAGTTGGTTGGTCGGTTGGCGGTTTGGTAGGTTTTTCTTTCTTCCTCCCTCCCTCCCTCCCTTCCATCCTTCCTCCCTCCCTCCCTCCCTCTTTCCCTTCCTTCTTTTCTTTCTTCCTTTCTTCTTCCATTCCTTCCTGGCTTGTTTCGTCCAAAAGGATCAGTTGATATAGTACTGTAGATTCGATTATGACAATGTGGAGTAATCAAACTGAGTAGCTTAAGAATATCAGACTTTAAAAATTGGTTTTTTCTCTTTTAGTATTGCTTTATTTCCTACATATTTTAAACCTTATTATAATTCATAAGCTTTTATTTTCAGGATATTTTCAGCTATCTTAGTAATATTCATAACTGAGAATGAGTAAATTTTGTAATGAATAGCACAGAAAAAACTGAAGAATTTTAGGTTTCGAGACCTGTGGCTTTTCCTAAGTGTAGAAAGGCAAAAAGCTGTAAAAGCTGTATGTAGACCCCCCAGACAAGCGCTTTCGCTTTTGGGGTTAATGTAATTGAAAAAAAAAGGTTTAAATAACAAACAAAAAACTAAAGATAAAGAAAAAAGATGTATTTTTACATTTGAGGAAGAGATACAGGTCTCGCTCGAAACGCAAAACTCATTTATTACAAAGTCAATTTTGTCATTAGACTAATATGTACAGGAAGTAAGTGAAATGAAAAACGTAGTAACTGTAGTTTTACCGGCAGAGTAGCTCTGTTTCTACTGGATTCTGCAAATGGAATTTAAATGTAGTTTTTAGCGGAGGGATGAAAACCAGAGAAAACCCCTCGAAGCACAGGAGAGAACCGACAAACAACTCTAGTCACATACGACACAACAACAGGTCCGAAAATAGAAGTCACTAAAACGATAAAAGCCTTTTAAAAACATTAACTAGCTATTTTAACTGCGCAATTAAGAGAAAATAAGCTAGAAGAATCTCTAGGCTGTGTAGCGGTGGTGGGCGACGATAGAGAAAGACAGCTGGTTGTTTAATGCGGCTTTCGTACTGATAAACCAATTGAAGAACGGATTAACGCGTCCATTATAGGCAAGCTACAGTATCATCTTCTTGACTATTCCCTTTTTTATCGATACAATACAGAGCTTTTCTTTCGTGTAGAACACTGCTATAGTATCTTCTACTTTTTCACCCATCAGAAAACATAGTTCGACGAATTTGTATGACGTTCGAAAACCAGTATACGGCACGGTAACGGTAAGTCAACATAGAACCAATCACAGTGCACGAGGCTACAGATTTCCCAATCAAAATTATGCGCAGGCGTAGTTCAGTTTATTATTGCACGGTCTTCAGAGAGAGAGATCCACGGTTCAATACTCAGGATCTTCAAGTCTGTTTCGACTTCTCTTTGTTCTGTGTACCTTTAGCTTTCAACACCCGTAATAAGGAGCACTGATAGTCTGAGTGGGTAAAGTGCGCAACTTCGAGTGCTTTATACACGAGTCTCTTGCTTGGAAGAATTGGGCAACCACTCTTCGCGTCATTGAAGTAAAATATTAGATTTACCCTTGCTTTTCGTAACGCTGGGACACGGCACGGCGGATCTCTAGTCTCTCGTAGTAAATTTTTTGATCGAAGGCATGGTCTTAGAAGTCACGTATCAAATAGACTAGGCAAATAGCAGTTTCACTGGTTTTTGAACGCTACTCTTTACGGCAGTGTCACTAGAGGTATACCTCAACAATGACACGAATATATTCGTAGCGCGGTAATGGTGGTCATCAGAAATAGATTGGTCATTTTTAACGTCCTTATTCAACTTCGTCTATTTATCGAAAACCAACATTTCAGTCATACAAAATTTATTTACTTATTTTAGTTATATATTTCATGAGTTTATACGTTATCTTAAATATTAGAACATCACACTCGTTAGTTGATGTTGTTGTTATTCACTTATCAAATATCACACTTTAATGGTTAAAGTTGTCAGTTTTATTGCCTTTAATGTTTCCTATATTAGTTCGTCGTTGAGGGGTTGATAGGGTCGATTAATCCTTATTTCCATTCTTTTGCGTTGAGCACTGATCACATAGATGACTGCAATCATATTCCATGAAATCAGTAAAAAATAAATCAGTAGCACACACATAACAAAGAAAATAACAAAGACAAACCAACACCCCCTTTACCCCACTTTTTTTTGAGTAAATAAATCATTAATTCGTCTCTCTTGTACTCAAGATTTCAATACTTTATCTCACACCTCGAACCTCAAAGGGAATTCCTGGCCCGTTAATGAAATAATATTAGTTGATGCATGGTTGAAGTAGCGAAAGAAAACAAAAGAAAAATAGCGAATTTTCCATTACGTCTAATCAAAGTAGATGCATGGCGCAGAATATGAAAATGAAAACCAACCATTTTAAGCAAGAT